TGCCTCAGCCTCCCAAGTAGCTAGGATTGCAGGTGCAAGCCACCACACCCAGTTAATTTTTGTGTTTTTATTAGAGACAGGGTTTTGCTATGTTGGCCAGGCTGGTTTGGAACTCCGGACATCAAGTGATCCACCTAGTTTGGCCTTCAGATTACAGGTGTGAGCCACCACGCCCAGCTGGAATCTGCCTTTTTAAATGTGATTCCCTGCAGTGGTTTACTAGCCTGGAGCATTTCTGCATAATGGAGGGTGGCTGCAGGCCGAGCTCTCAGAATCCTCCTAGAAGATGTCCACGAGATGGGCCACAGGAGCAGCCACCACTGTTACCATCCAGAAGACAGAGAATTGAGAACTCACTACCCTGTGTCCCTCAGAGATGTACATATGCACCCTCTCCATCCCAGCAATGCAAAAATTGTACATATGTTCACCAAAAACCTTTCATTGGAATGTTCATTGTGGCACCCCTACATGACAGCTCCCCGAATGAAACTACTCAATTGATTATCAACTGTTGAAGGGATAAATTGTGTTATGGTCACACAACTTTATAGCAATGAGTATAGACAGTCTATCTAAGACTATAAGCAACAATATGGATAACTCTTACAAACATTGCTGAGTAAAAAAACACACTTTCTGTATGTCCACACAAATGGAATTATGAAGTATATACATAGTACTTCATAATTCCATTTGTGTGGACATACAGAAAGTGTGAAAGCTCACCTAAGGTGTTAGATGTCAGGATAGTGTCACCCTTGTGAGGAAGATCACTCCTGGCAGGGACATAGGAGAGGCTTCTGGGGAGCTGACAATGTTTCCTGTCTTTTTCTGGGCACTGTTTACACGTGTGTGTTTAGTTTATGAAAAATCATCATTATATAAACACAACATATTTGCTTTGTTGTAGGCATTTTATATTCTTCCATTAAAAACTGGTCAGGCAGTGGCTCACGCCTGTAATCTCAGCACTTTGGGAGGCTGAGGTGGGTGGATCACTTGAGATCAGGAGTTCGCGACCAGCCTGGCCAATATGGCAAAACCCCGTTTCTATTAAAAATACAAAACTTAGCTGGGTGTGGTGGCCCATGTCTGTAATCCCCGCTATTTGGGAGGCTGAGGCAGGAGAATTGCTTGAACTAGGAGGGCAGAGGTTGGAGTGAGCTGAGATTGTGCCACTGTACTCCAGCCTGGGTGACAGAGTAAGACTGTCAAGAAAAAGAAAAAGAAATTCATCTGAAAGAATCAACTGCTTTCACTATTCTGACCATTATTCTGGACCATGACACATGCTTTTTTTTTTTTTTTTTTCTTTTTTAATGGAGTCTCTATTGCCCAGTCTGGAGTGCAGTGGAGTGATCTTGGCTCACTGCAACCTCTACCTCCCAGGTTCAAGCTATCCCTCCTGTCTCAAACTCCTGAGTAATTGGGGTTACAGGCATTGCACTCCCACACCCGGCTAATTTTTGTATTTTTTGTAGGGTCGGGGTTTCACTGTGTTGACCAGGCTGGTCTTAAACTCCTGACCTCAAGTGATCTGCTCACCTCGGCCTCCCAGAGTGCTGGGATTACAGGCGTGAGCCACTGCACCCAGCCAAGAACTTAATAACTTAAGATAGTGTTTCTGAAGCAGGCCACGGATGAAACTTTGTGGCAAGAACCAGTCCTCCTTGCCTCCCTGTTTCCCAAAGAGCCATTTTTGTCTAGGTGGGAATCAGTGTCTCCCTGAAAAGTGATGGAAACTGCTATTTTTTTTTTTTTTTTTTTGAGACGGAGTTTTGCTCATTACCCCGGCTGGAGTACAATGTCGAGATCTCCGCTCACCACAGCCTGGTTCAAGCAATTCTTCTGCCTTAGCCTCCTGAGTAGCTGGGACTACAGGCGTGTGCCACCATGCCCAGCTAATTTTTGTATTTTTTTAGTAGAGACGGATTTCACCATGTTGACCAGGGGAAATTCATTTTGAGACATTTTTTTAAATGGATTAGAGAATTAGTTTCAGAAAAGGAACCTAAAATTGGCCCCAGTTATAACCAGTTCTCATAGAGCCTTTCTCATAGGGAGGAAGGAGTTCGCCTGAGTTTCCTCCTTATGAGTGTGAAAAGGAAAGGTTTCCACTTTCTCAGTCTTCTAGAAACTAGGGGAAAAGCCAGGTACAGTGGCTCATGCCCATGATCCCAGCACTTTGGCAGGCTGAGGTAGGTGGCCTGCTTGAGCCCAGGAGTTTGAGACCAGCCTAGGCAAAACACAGCAAGACCCTGTCTCTACAAAAATGAGCCAGACATGATGGCGTGTACCTGTGGTCTCAGCTATTTGGGAGCCTCGGAGGGGGAAGTTGCAATGAGCCGAGATAGTAACACTGCACTTCAGCCTGGGTGACAGAGACCCTGTCTTTAAAATGGAGGAGTTAGCCCCGGTACCTTCTGCCCTGCACGCTGGTGACGAGCAGTGCCGTGGCGCTCTGGCGCTGGGAGCTGGGCGTGTTCTGGACGGGCAGCGGCTTTGCGAAAGCCCTACTCCGTGGGCCCCAGCGCCTGACGACGGCCTGCAGCCACCCAAAGACCCTGCCACGCCACTCTCCCCGCAGCTGCCCAGCGAAGAACCAGCTAAGTCCCCCTGGCCTACTGAGCAGTCCCCAGAACCATGCATGCCCGAGGAGATGGGGCCTGGAGCCCCTACACGGGAGCCGGGGAGCCCAGCCGAACCCGAGGGCCCGGACCAGGCCCAGCTGCACCCCGTGGCCCAGCCTGGCTCCTCGGCCTAGAGGAGGGGTGAGATGCTTGCAGCGTGCGCGTCACACCAACATGATGGGGATGCCTGGCGCCTGCCGGAGACAGACAGACAGACGCCTGCTCCCAGGACTGAGCCTGCGCCGGCCCTGCCCGCCCTGACATGGTGCTGAACCTCACCGAGGCCCCCCGCGGTCCGTGCCCAGTCCCGCCCAGCTGCCCCCGCTGCAAGCCTGCTGCTCCAAGCTCACCCGGCTGCCACAAGCCTGCTGTGGGTCCGTCCTCCTCGCCGGGGTCCATCCTCTTTGCCGGGGTCCATCCTCCTCACCAGGGTGTGTCTTCCTCACCCGGGTTCGTCCTCCTCACCGGGATCCGTCCTCAGAGGCTCTAGGCCGGTCCTCTCTGCAGACCCTCGATCACCGTCTGCACGAGTGAGCAGGCTGCCCACGGCCACACTGGTGCTTACCAGCTGCTTCGTCCTTCTGGTGACCTCCTTCCTCACGGTGTCCAGTTCTCCGGGCTGAAGAGCGGCTTTCTGCCTCTGGAAGGCATCGCTTTTCCCGCCTGAGCAGATTGGAGACCCTGGGAGGTTTGGGTGCCACCTAGGACACCGAGTGGTGGCCGGGGCGGCACCTGGACCCTGACACTGGGCGGAGGCAGGCCGGTGGGGCAGGGTTTCCGGCGTGAATGAGGCTGGCCTCATGTGAGTGGACAAGCTGCTCCCCTGGCCAAGGCCCTGCCACCCTCAATCAGTCCTGAGGCCCCTGGCTGCGCCTGCATACTCCTCCCCTTCTCAATAAACGGTCGCGACTTCTAAAAAAACTGTCTTTTGTGTGTGTGTGTGTGTGTGTGTGTGTGAGCAACATGGCCATTTATTCACTTGGGTGCAGGTAGACTAAGCCCAAAAAGGGCATTAGCAAAGGGCAGTGGGATAGGAGTTGGTTTTTATAGGTTTGGGTAGTTTTGGGGGGCCATGGGTATTGCAGAGTAAATTCAGTTACAGTGGTGGGGGTAGGGGCAAGGAGTATACATGACCACAAGTTCAGTTACAATGGCAGGGTTCGGTGAGAGGTATTTACATGATCACAAGAACAGTTTAAATGGCAGGGTTGGGTGAGGGGCTTGTGGGAAGCTCCGCGGGGTGATCAGGGACAATGGCAAACGCAGGCAGGTGGTGGGAGATTTCAGCCAAGGCAAGCAGGACTTCAGACTTTCAGGCTCCAGGCTTGCATATGGAGACCTTATATTCCTTCCTTCTTCTCAAATTGTTGGTCAGTCCTATGCTCGTGGTCTCCAGAAACTTCTGTAGCAGGTCTGGAACAGTAGAGGAAGTTCTGGCTGTGTCCTGCAAGAGTCTGAGCCCTTCAGGGAATGCTTCTTTGCCCCTTTTCTCTCTCTGTAGACCAGAAGAGGATCACCAAAAAATAGCATTAAGAAAATAAAAAGGTGCTCCTGTGTTGCTCCAAGTGCTCAATCCTCCTGCCATCGCAGCCATCCTGGCCTCGGGGGCGGCGGCCCCCAAAGGTGGTCCCGGTCGGCGCCACGCTGAGCGCAGAAGCCTCTGTCTGAATGGCTCCTCTTTTGGGAGAACACAGACGCCTTCCACCAGGAAGGGTCCTCGGACTCCACCCAAGAACTACAGGGGAACCAGGGCCCCCGCGGCCGGGGCAGTCCCGCAGCCGAGCGCAGCCGGGTGCGCGCCACCGCCCACTCACCCTGTGCCTGCCGCAGCCCAAACCTGGCCCCGGCCAGGAGCCGAGAGGACAGCGGGGATCGCGAGCTCCTGCCCGAACGAGCTGGTGCGTCCGCAGCAGAGTCGGCACCTGAAGGACATGGAGATGGACCTATCATTGCTGCTCTTCCTGGCTCCCAGGGACTGACTTCTTGAGATTGGGAAGACTGTGGAGAAGAGCACATGGGCCTCTTATTTCCGAAGCTGGATGGAGGCTGCAACTCTCCGGAAGGAAATGAGCTCAACTTCCCCAAACCTCCCCCCTGCAAAAGAAATTTTAAGCTTGGACACTTGGAACCTGCCCCAAGACCCTCACTGATGCCCTTAGGCATCCAGATAGCTTATTGAAACATCTGGTCCAGGCCCATCTCTGCCTGGGGAGGGGTGGCCCACAGGAGGGATGCGCTTTGCAGAGAGGAAATGGCTCAAACCAGATACTGCTTTGTTTGTTTTCCCTGTGAATGAAAGACCATTTTTCTCTCAAAAAAAAAAAAAAAGGCCCTGTTCTCCCACCGGGGGACCAACTGTAGCTCAGAAGCCTCCTTCTCAGGCCGGATACTATGTCACCCCTGGTTCTGGCCGCTGTATGAGGCAGCCTCAGGCAGGGGTCCCCGGCCCGTGGCCCCTGCCACAGGGCATCAGAATGGATAGCAGGCACACCCAGATGCAGGGTTCCCGGTGATGTGCCGTGAAGACATCTTCTTCTCAGACCCTCTGCTGCCCCAAGGACAGCGCGTCCCCTTGTACCTTTCCGAGGCCCCCCAGCAGGTGATAAGCTTCCTGAAGCTGCTGCCGCCACCCCCCGTAATGTCCCCCTGGGTCTTCCCCAGCCTGTCACCCTCCCCAGGCCGCTTCACCGCCTGGCTCAGTGGGCCGGAGCTGATAGCTCTCACCGGCCTGCTGCAGATGAGCCAGGGGGAGCCCAGGCCCAGCTCCTCCGCAGCTGCCACACCGGCTGCTGGCCCCCCAGACCCTGCCTCTGACCGAACCAGCCCCTGTGGTGGCTCCAGCAGTTCTCATGGTGCTGACCCCTCTCTCCTACAGACCCCAGACACCCATTGTTCATAGCCTTCTTGGAGCAGGGTGGGCTGGTTGTGTTGACAATAAGTGTTGGTTTGAAAAAAAAAAAAATCCCTCCTGGTGTTTGACCTAACCAAGCAGTGGTGGAGCGCTGGTTGAAGGAGCTCTATGACCATGCTGAAGCCACGATCGTTGTCATGCTCATGGGTAACAAGAGTGACCTCAGCCAGTCCCGGGAAGTGCCCACTGATGAGGCCCGCATGTTCGCTGAAAACAATGGGCTGCTCTTCCTGGAGACGTCAGCCCTGGACTCCACCAATGTTGAGCTAGCCTTTGAGACTGTCCTGAAAGAGAGCTTTGAGAAGATATCCAAGCAGAGACAGAACAGCACCCGGACCAATGCCATCACTCTGGACAGTGCTCAGGGTGGGCAGGAGCCTGGCTCTGGGGAGAAGAAGGTCTGTTGCATCAGCCTCTGACCTTGGTCAGCACCACCCTGACCCAACTGGCTTCTGGTACCCCTTGTCCCCACCTCAGCCCCAGGACCTTTCCCTGCCCTTTGGTTCCAGATGTCAGACTGTTCCCTGTTCACAGCACCCCCAGGGCCTTAAGGTCTTCATGACCTATCACAAATACCTCTTTTATCTGTTCACCCCTCACAGACTCAGACCCTCAAATAAAGCTGTTTTGTATAAAAAAAAAAAAAAAATACAACACACCCAAATACAGGATGATAGTTGGTGTAACAAACAGATATATCAGAGATATCATTTGTCAGATTGCTTATACCCGTACAGAGGGGTATAATAATGATAGTCTTCGCAGCATATGCACATGAACTGCCAAAATATGGTGTGAAGGTTGGCCTGACAAATTACGCTGCAGCGTATTGTACTGGCCTGCTGCTGGCCCGCAGACTTCTCAGTAGGCTTGGCATGGACAAGATCTATGAAGACCAAGTGGTGGAAAACATTGATGGTCAGCCTGGCACCTTTACCTGCTATTTGCATGCAGGCCTTGCCAGAACTACCACTGGCAATAACGTTTTTGGTGCCCTGAAGGGAGCTGTGGATGGAGGCTTGTCTATCTCTCACAGTACCAAACGATTCCCTGGTTATGATTCTGAAAGCAAGGAATTCAATGCAGAAGTACACCGGAAGCACATCATGGGCCAGAATGTTGTAGATTACATGCGCTACTTAATGGAAGAAGATGAAGATGCTTACAAGAAACAGTTCTCTCAGTACATAAGGAACAGCGTAACTCCAGACATGATGGAGGAGATGTATAAGAAAGCTCATGCTGCTATATGAGAGAATCCAGTCTATGAAAAGAAGCCCAAGAAAGAAGGTAAGAAGAAGAGCTGGAACCACCCCAAAATGTCCCTTGCTCAGAGGAAAGATCAGGTAGCTCAAAAGAAGGCAAGCTTCCTCAGAGCTCAGGAGTGGGCTGCTGAGAGCTAAACCTAACAGTTTTCTATAAGGATTTTTCAGATAAAGACAATAAACTTATGGACAGCAATTAAAAAAAAAAAAAACTTGCCCATCTCACAAACATGATTTTGCTCTCAGACTGTTCTTCAGGTTTCCATCTGCAGCCATCTGTGAGTTGTCTGGGGAATGTTGCTTGAGGTCTGTTCCTCTTTTTCTTCTCTTGTAGAGGAGTAATGAATAATCTAGGTATCTGAGAATCTTATGATCTTGTCTGATCATACCAAGTGCTGCTAAAGATGTGGTGCAAAGAGAACTCTCATATGCAGTAAGGATGTAATTAGTGCTCTCCTGGAGAGTAACGTGGAAAAACTACTTGGAAATGCAGTTGAAGACACACATACCCTTTCACTCAACTATTTCACTTCTCACCACATATGCTGTTCCAGCGGTAGCCTTGTGGGCAGCAGCATCCACTTCTTAGAAATGCAGAATCTGGCTGGGCATGGTGGCTCACACCTGTAATCCCAGCACTTTGGGAGGCCAAGACAGGCATAGCACCCACCTGAGGTCAGGAGTTCAAGAGCAGCTTGGCCAACATGATGAAACCCCTTCTCTACTAAAAATACAAAAATTAGGTCGGGCACAGTGGGTCATGCCTGTAATCCCAGCTACTCAGGAGGCTGAGACAGGAGAATCACTAAGTAATGCAAGTAGCTTGGATTACAAGTGCCATTACACCCAGACCTGTTTGTTTGTTTGTTTTTAAGTCACAACTACTCCTTAACTACTTCCTTCTCCACAGGTCTGGGCACACACCACCCAGCTGCAGCCCACTCCAGCAGACTGGACACCTGCATACCATTCTGGACACCCCAAAGCTAAAGACCCGACAAGGCCAAGTGCAGTGGCTCACGCCTATAATCCCAGCACTTCGGGAGGCCAAGGCGAGTGGATCACAAGGTCAGGAGTTCGAGACAAGCCTGGCCAACATGGTGAAACCCCGTCTCTAGTAAAAATACAAAAATTAGCCCTGTGTGGTAACGGGTGCCTGTAATTCCAGCTACTCGGGGTGCTGAGGCAGGAGAATTGCTTGAACCTAGGAGGTGGAGGTTGCAGTGAGCCGAGATCACGCCACTGCACTGCAGCCTGGGTGACAGAGCAAGACTCCATCTCAACCGAAAAAAAAAAATCCCAACAAGAGCTCCCCTTCTCAGGAAAGGCCCTATTGCCAGCTTGCCTGCAGGAGTGACAATGGCAGCAAATGCACTTTACTTTTACGTCCCTCATCTGCAAGGCAGCTTGGCAGAAGCCAGTCTAGTGAAAATCCTCAGAAATCAGGTCTCAGTAGCATCCTTGTAAGCCTAAGAAATGTACCAGCTTCTGGAAGGGGGCCCTGAACAAGTGGGCTGGAATGGAGTTGAGTGGCCAGTCTGCACAGCAGCCTCACTCACCTCCACATTGACTGGCTGATGTTGCTGATGTCCACCTCTTTTTTTTTTTTTTGAGACGAAAATCTCACTCTGTCACCAGGCTAGAGTGCAGTGGCTCAATCTTGGCTCACTGCAACCTCCACCTCTTGGGTTCAAGTGATTCTCCTGCCTCAGCCACCCCAGTAGCTGAAACTACAGGTGCACGCCACCACGCCAAGCTAATTTTTATATTTTTAGTAGAGACGGGGTTTCAGCATGTTGGCCAGGATGGTCTCAATTTCTTAACCTCATGATCTGTGCACCTCAACCTCTCAAAGTGTTGGGATTACGGGCGTGAGCCACCATGCCCAGCAGTGCCCACCTCTTTAGTCCAGTTCTGTCTGATGTGTTAAGAATGGAAAGAAAGCCTTCTCAGGGGCATTTTGTTTGTTTTGTATTTTGTTTTGAGATGGAGTCTCACTCTGTTGCCCAGGCTGGAGTGCGGTGGCACAATCTCATCTCACTGTAACCTCCACCTCCTGGGTTCAAGTGATTCTCTTGCCTCATCCTCCTGAGTAACTGGGTCTACAGGCATGTGCCACGATGTCTGGCTAATTTTTTGTATTTTTAGTAGAGACAGGGTTTCACCATGTTGGTCAGGCTGGTCTTTAACTCCTGACCTCAAATGATCTGCCCACCTCGGCCTCTCAAAGTGCTGTGATTACATGCCTGAGCCACTTCATCCAGCCCCTCTCAGGGCTATTGGATGTTATCATCTAGATGCTACTGTCAGTGAGTTCAAGAAACAGAATAAAGAAGAATAGGAAGGTCATAGCAAGGGAGACCAAGGTCTGCCTGTTATTTTAATTCTTTTTTCCCCTTATTCCTATTTTCTAACACAGAAAATACATACTCTAGAAAATCATATTTAAACATCTTGCTATGTTTCATTCTAATTTTTTCTTTTTTAGATGGAGTCTCACTGTCACCCAGGCTGGAATGCAGTGGTGCGATCTCGGCTCACTGCCACCTCTGCCTCCTGGGTTCAAGAGATTCTCCTGCCTTTGCCTCCCAAGTAGCTGGGACTACAGGCGCCTGCCACCACACCGGGTTACTGTTTTATTTTTAGCAGAGAGAGGATTTCACCATGTTGGCCAGGCTGGTCTCAAACTCTGGTCCTCAGATAATCTGCCTGCCTTGGCCTCCCAAAGTGCTGGGGTTACAGGCGTGAGTCACTGCGCCCAGTCCTAATTTTTTTTTGAGGGGGGGAGATGGAGTCTTGCTCTGTTGCCCAGTCTGGAGTGCAGTGGTGCAATCTCAGCTCACTACAACCTCCACCTCCTGGGTTCAAGTGATTCTCCTGCCTCAGCCTCCTGAGCAGCTGGGACTACAGGGGCACACTACCACCCCGGCTAATTTTTTGTATTTTTAGTGTAGACGGGTTTTCACCGTGTTGGTCAGGATGGTCTAGATCTCCTGACCTTGTGATCCACCCACCTTGGCCTCCTAAAGTGCTGGGATTACAGGTGTGAGCCACCACACCTGGCCTCTAATTTTTTTCTTAAAGAAATGAAACACCACAGATCTAGTTCAGTTTCTCCACTTCACTCCCCTTCTCCCAGAGGAAACCATGTCCTTAATTTTGTCTTTGTGGTCAGTACTCTGTCTAAGCATGCTTGTAACCCCAAACAAAACAAAATATTGTTTTCTGTTTATATTTTGTATACAGTATATCCTACTCTACATTTCAGTCTGCAATTTGCTTTTCTTTCCCTTCATGTTATGATTTTGGATGCAATCCATGCTGTTATATATGGCTCTACTTCCTTCATTTTTAACTGCTTTATACATGTCATTGTATGACAGCATCACAATTTATCTGTTCTCCATACGTTGGCTTTTTGGGTTGTTCCCTTATCTATTGTTATTACAAACCATGCTGCAACAAACACATATACACACATGTTTGAGAGCTCCAGGCTGGTGCCCGGAGTTCCCAGGGTCGGTTAAAACACATATTCCAATTCAATGGGTGGGGCCTGAGATTCTGCACTTCTTTTTCTTTTCTGAGATGTGTCACACAGTCTGGAGTGTAGTGGCGTAATCTCCATTCACTACAACCTCTGCCTCCTAGGTTCAAGCAATTCTCCTGCCTCAGCCTCCCAAGTAGCTGGAATTATAGGTGCCCACCACCATGCCAGGCTAATTTTTTTTTTTTGAGACGGAGTCTTGCTCTGTTATGAGGCCAGAGTACAGTGGTATGATCTCAGGTTACTGCAAACTCTGCCTCCCTGGTTCAAGCAATTCTCCTGCCTCAGCCTCCCAAGTAGCTGGGACAAGAGCATGCCACCATGCACGGCCAATTTTTGTATTTTTAGTAGAAACGGGGTTTCACTATGTTGGCCAGGGTAGTCTCGATCTCTTGACCTCATGATCCACCTACCTCAACCTCCCAAAGTGCTGGGATTACAGGTGTGACCCACTGCACCCTGCCTAATTTTTGTATTTTTAGTAGAGAAGGGGTTTCATCATGTTGGCCAGGCTGCTCTTGAACTCCTGAACTCAGGTGATATGCCTGCCTTGGCCTCCCAAAGTGCTGGGATTACAGGTGTGAGCCACCATGCCCAGCCAGATTCTGCATTTCTTTTTTTTTTGAGATGGAGTTTCGCTCTTGTTACCGAGGCTGGAGTGCAATGGCGCGATCTCAGCTCACCACAACCTCCGCCTCCTGGGTTCAGGCAATTCTTTTCTCTCAGCCTGCTGATTAGCTGGGACTACAGGCACGCGCCACCGTGCCCAGCTAATTTTTTGTATTTTTAGTAGAGATGGGGGGGTTTCACCATGTTGACCAGGATGGTCTCGATCTCCTGACCTTGTGATCCACCCATCTAAGCCTTCCAAAGTGCTGGGATTACAGGAGTGAGCCACCACACCTGGTCAAAACTTTCTTATAATCAAATTTACTCTTGAAAATCTCTTATATCTCTCATGAAGTAAAAGTATAATAAAGCCAAATTTATCTTTAGGAAGGGAATAACTTGCTGTTCTTTTGGCTGAATTCCAGATGAACTCATTGGCTTGCATTTAGGAGCCATGTTATATTAAAAATAACTTTATTGGCCAGGTGCAGTGGCTCATGCCTGTAATCCCAGCACTTTGGGAGGCTGAGGCAAGTGGATCACCGGGTCAGGAGTTCAAGATCTGCAAGGCCAAGATGGTGAAACCCCGTCTCTACTAAAATTACAAAAATTAGCTGGGCGTGGTGGCAGATGCCTATAATCCCAGCTACTCGGGAGGCTGAGGCAGAGAATTGCTTGAACCTGAGAAGCGGAGGCTGCAGTGAGCCGAGATCCCACCACTGCACTCCAGCTTGAGTGACAGAGCAAGACTCTGTCTCAGAAAACAAAACAAAACAGAAAAAAAAATTTTATTCACATAGCATAAATGCATGTTATTGAATTATCCATACTATGTAACACTATAAAAATATTTACTGTATTCCATTAAAAGACCCTTACTGAGTACCTTGAACATGCCAGGCACTGTATAAGGGTGGTACACTTCTCACACATTCTTTACCAAGGCATGGATGTGGAAAAATAGGCTGTTAATTAACAGAATGAGAAAGCTACTTACTAATATGAAACTGACATTTTAAGATTGAGAAAAAAAGTATAGTGTTCTTCAGGGAAAAAGCAGGTAGTTTTGTGAACCACATGACTGCTGTATCTTGAGAAACAAGTTCCTGTAGAGTCATCTTCTAGCCCTCTAATATTCAGTGATTTATGAAGACTTGAGTAATCATGGAAGGAATACTGGTTTACAGCAAATTCCAAGTATTTAATTCTGGAATTAACCATGTAAGAAACTCCAGGCCGGGTGCAGTGGCTCATGCCTGTAATCTCAGCACTTTGGGAGGCCGAGGCGGGCAGATCGTGAGGTCAGTATATTGAGACCATCTTGGCCAACATGGTGAAACCCCATCTCTACTAAAAATACAAAAATTAGCTGCGCGTGGTGGTGCACGCGTGTAGTCCCAGCTAGCTGGGAGGCTGAGACAGGGGAATTGCTTGAACCCAGGAGGAAGAGGTTGCAGTGAGCTGAGATTGTGCCACTGTACTCCTGCCTTGTAACAGAACAAGACTCCACCTCAAAAAAAAAAATAAATCCTCCAAAATACTATTTGATTTGGCAAAATAAAAATAATTTTCACTAGGAAATTTTAAAAAATATCTGTAACTGCTTAATAAATCATTTTAAGACATGTACTTTATTTTTTTGAGACAGTTTTGCTCTTGTTGCCCAGGCTGGAGGGTAATGGTGCGATCTTGGCTTACTGCAACCTCCGTCTCCTGGGTTCAAGCGATTCTCCTGCCTCAGCCTCCTGAGTAGCTGGGATTACAGGCGTGCGCCCATGCCCAGATAATTTTGTATTTTTAGTAGAGATGGGGTTTCGCCATGTTGGTCAGGCTGGTCTCGAACTCCTGCCCTCTTGATCTGCCCACCTCAGCCTCCCAACGTGCTGGGATTATAGGCGTGAGCCACCACGCCCAACCAAAACATGTATTTCTAAGGAAAGAAGTCATTCTAGAAAAACAAAATACGGCCGGGCGAGGTGGCTCAAGCCTGTAATCCCAGCACTTTGGAAGGCCGTGGCGGGTGGATCACGAGGTCAAGAGATCGAGACCATCCCGGTCAAAATGGTGAAACCCCGTCTCTACTAAAGATACAAAAAATCGCCATTGCACTCCAGCCTGGGTAACAAGAGCGAAACTCCGTCTCAAAAAAAAAAAAAAAAAAAAAAGATACAAAAAATTAGCTGGGCATGGTGGCAAGTGCCTGTAATCCCAGCTACTCGGGAGGCTGAGGCAGGAGAATTGCCTGAACCCAGGAGGCGGAGGTTGCGGTGAGCCGAGATCGCGCCATTGCACTCCAGCCTGGGTAACAAGAGTGAAACTCAGTCTCAAAAAAAAAAAAAAAAGAAAAAGAAAATACTTATCTAGTCTTTCAGTTACCCTGAAAAATATTTTATAGGTTGTCATAAAACAACAAAAACCCCAGCAGCCATCATAGCAGGAGCTCCCAGAAAGAGCAATAGTGGGCAATTACTCCAAGGAGTACCACATCCCTTTGCCATTCTAGAGTTGAATTTTGCTAAAAATACAGATCACAGGCAGCCTTGATGAGGAAATTAATTCATTAACTCTCAAAGCTTGACAGAGGTTGAGAAATGAAAAACGGTATTCCTACACATCTCGAAGTCAGCCCTGGGTAGGGAGGGTTTATGGCAGATAGTGTGTGTACAATCTATACAGCTTTTTTTTTTTTTTTTTGAGATGGAGTTTCACTCGTTCGTTACCCAGGCTGAAGTGCAATGGCGCGATCTCGGCTCACTGCAACCCCCGCCTCCTGGGTTCAGGCAATTCTCCTGCCTCAGCCTCCCGAGTAGCTGGGATTACAGGCACTTGCCACCATGCCCAGCTAATTTTTTGTATTTTAATAGAGATGGGGTTTCACCATGTTGACCAGGATGGTCTCGATCTCTTGACCTCGTGATCCACCCGCCTTGGCCTCCCAAAGTGCCGGGATTACAGGCTTGAGCCACCGGGCCCGGCATACAGCTTTTTTCTAGGTAGTGGTAGAGGTATTACCTTCTCTCCAAGTTGATTCCTCCATCACTGGTGCCAAACTATAGGAGTTTTGCTAAAAATGTGGCAGTTCAATGTGCAGAAAAGATAACATTGTGAGAAAGCACTGACTCTTAAGATCTTACTAACAGCCGTTTACTATGTGACAACCTGAACAACCACTAACCTTCATTTTCTTATCTGTAAGTGAGGAGTATATGTCTCATAATCTTAAGGGATAGGAAAAAAGTCAAATAAACTGAAACTTCAAAAAGCATTCTGTGAACTGAAAAACACAGTATATGTAAAAAGCCTAAAGGGAGACAGAAATTTAGGCAATTCAGAGAAAAATTCTTTAAACATTTTATTTTGACAAAACAAACTTTACAGATTTTACAATCTCCCAAATATCACTTATTTAAAAACACAATAGACAAGGCAACCTAGACTCCAAGATTTCAGGCATGAAAAAACTAGTACCAGATATTCATGTTATATAATTGAGTTGCATTTTACATATCATGAAAGTAAAGACAAATGTGACACTCACTAGTTTCAAGTGTACCTTTTAAGAAACATATGGATATACTTGGGTTTTTTAACCATAGTGTCATATCAATAAACATCTAAGTATCTGACATATATTTTTCCATTAAAGGTAAGCACAACTCTATGAACATCAAATTATATCAATCATTTGCTTTTGATAATCTTGACTGGAAACTGAAAAATAAGAGGAATATAGAGTTAAGTAGCCAAAAATGCTACTTACTGTACACAAGCACATCATGACAGGAATGCTAGAAGTAGTTCCCCTCAGGAATGGGTTTTTGAAAATTTAAAATAGTTTTATCGAAAAGTTAAAGCCTTTAGGGGGGAAAACCATGGTAAATGACATATTGACTCACTCTCTAAAGACCTAGCAAATTATAGATTTTATGTAATTAGTAACCAACATATACATTTAAGAGATTAATAATGACTGTTCACCAGAAACTTCTGATGGTTCTGAAGCACCTATTATTTTGTTGTTGTTTTGAGATGGTGTTTTGCTGTTGGTGCCCAGGTTGGAGTGCAATGGCAGGATCTTGGCTCACTGCAACCTCTGCCTCCTAATTTCAAGCAATTCTCCTGCCTCAGGCTCTGGAGTAACTGGAATTACAGGCATTCGCCACCAGGCTAATTTTGTATTTTTAGTAGAGACTGGGTTTCTCCATGTTGGTTGGTCAGGCTGATCTTGAACCCCCGACCGCAGGTGATCTGCCCACCTCAGCCTCCTAAAGTGCTAGGATTATAGGCGTGAGCCACGGTGACCAGCCAATTAAGCATCTATTCTTTCTTTTTTTTTTTTTAAAAGATGGGTTTCACCATGATGGCCAGGCTGGTCTTCAACTCCTGACCTCAGGTGATCCACCCACCTCAGCCTCCCAAAGTGCTAGGATTGCAGGTGTGAGCCACCACACCCGGCCTGCATCTATTCTTTAGAGTTACTATAGCTTTACAGGTCTATGAAATTTAAGATTCCTCAACAGGACGTTATAACTTTTTCTGCACTAGATACAGGCAGTATGTATAGATTTAGAACAATGACTGCTTTTCTCCTTCCAGGAGCCTATTTATACAAAATTAGATTGGTTTTTCACCCACGTATATGCATAAAAGTGCTTCTCAAATGTACACAGTTCAGTTCATATCCAAAATCCTACAAAGGGCACACAAACGGATAGTTTATATATTTTGTATTTTCATTTATTATTATTTTTTTGAGACAAGAGTCTCACTGTTGCCCAGGGTGGGGTGCAGTGGCATGATCTTGGCTCACCGCAACCTCCACCTCCTGGTTTTAAGTGATTTTTAAGCCTCAGCCTCCTGAGTAGCTGGGACTACAGGAGTGCGCTACCATGCCTGGCTGATTTTTGTATTTTTAGTAGAGATGGGTTTTTACCATGTTGGCCAGACTGGTCTTGAACTCCTGGCCTCAAATGATCTACCTGCCTCAGCCCCCAAAAGTGCTGGGATTACAGGTGCGAGACACCATATCCATCTTTATACAAATTCAATGACCATCTAGACAGAGATGTCACAAACTTGTTACAAATTTCTATGAACTGCTCTGTGCAGTTCACACATGTGTTCATTCATCATGCAGGCTGTGAACTCCCTTATCCTGTAGGCTGTAGGTACGTAGGTTTCTGCGATTACACGACCCAAAGACTAAAGGAGAAGTCTTTGCTTAAATTAGTCCCTCTCAAAAATGGTTTCTAATCTTAAACAGATTTAATATGCTTGTGGGTTAAATTTTAACATTTACGAAGTAATTACGAAGCCATTTACTCTAATATAAATGAATGAAATATAATTAAGAACCACACTTAAATAAATCTTTAATGAATGGTATTTTTCATTTACATACAAAGGAATTTAATAGCCAGCAGCATTTAAATATAGAAACAGTGCCATCTCTTCTCTATTCCCTTTTATAAAGTGCCATTAACCGGATAGATTTCCTACCCAGATTTTCAGTAACTAGAACAGGTATCTAATTGTCAAGAAAAGGTTGGAAAATTAAGTTCAGCATTTTAAACATATGCAACATTGCTTCAAGTCATACAGACTACTAATGTATTAAAATAAAGTGTATCTTATGTGAGAATCATTAAGTTGTTTAATAATTACTTCACAGAAACATGGGCTCACTAATATTCAGGCCAATTTGTGCTAATTATTGAAACCAGAAACAGTTTGTAGGTAATTCAGCTCTAAGTACCATTAAATAGGGTTATGCCAAATAGAACAACAGTTATATGATCCTCAGAAGCCCCAGCAAATTCAAGCTTTTAGAATAGTAATACAAGTTAGTGAGAATCAGAACAAGAGGCAGCATTTTATTTAAAAGTACCATAGGTTGCTAAGTGCTATCTTCCTTAAATAAAGTTTTGTGCCGTTATTAGTGTACCTTAACACTGGTGTACCTTAATAGTGGTGTTAGAGATAGTTCGGTGGAAACCATACCACAGAAGTGAATGTTGCCTGTTTCTTTAGTTCAGTGATTAAAACTGAAATTGCTTTAAAAAAAAATAATTGAACTGTGACTTACAATACACATAGAATACAAAGGGAATTCTCATTTTATTCACAAATTAGTATTTTTGCATTTCAACTCCGATCGAACCTTCAGTAGTACCTTAAAAAGCAAATTAGTGAAGAAAAAAAAAAAGGGGGGGCAGTAAGTTGTTTTCACACTTAGAAATACTACCAGTTTCATTACAATTTGCGTTTTTTTTGCTCTTGAAAGAGTAACCCCTTATAAAATCAGATACATAAAAGTGCACAATTCCTTACTTTGCAGGCATCCAGGAATGGTTAAAGGAACTCTCATTCATTCATTCTGTTTCCCCAATTTAGGTCCATTTCTAGTCTCCAGAAACGGACTCCAGGGCAGAGAAGAGGCACAGGTCAAGGTATAATGAATCTCTTAAAAAGAAATTCACTTTCCCCAGAAGGCTAGCTAACTCCGCCCCATCCATTCCAATCCCTCAAGTAAGAATGCATAATTTACATTGTATTTCTAGTCTCATTTACTTACATCACCTACTATTGAATTTCTGAAGACAAATAAATCTTTGCATTTTCTAAAAGAAACCATTTTTACCCAAATATATTGGACTTTGGTCTCAATTTGAAGGAGGAGGAGCGGCCTTTAACAGATCGCTCCTCCTCTACTTCCTCCTCATCCTCGACATCCTCCAGTGGCTGTTCTGGGTCCCTGAAAGAGAGTGTGGTGTGGACAATCTGGGTTCTGAAGCGGATTTTGTTGAGTCTGGGTTTTATACGTCCACTAGAGCTGCCCGAGGCTTTGCGCCCTGGATCCTTGGCTTTGCCTCCGACGCACCCCTCAGCCGAGTGGTGATGGTGGTGGTGATGGTCTCCTCCATCTTCTAAGGGGTGTGAGAATTTGTAGGTGATGAGGTGCGAGGGAAGCACCTTTGAAAGCCGCCAGCGCCCACCGCCGCTGCCCGCGGCGCTTTCCCCGTCTTCCTCCTCCAGAGCTCCCACCAGGTTCTTGATCTCCTCCGCGATGCTCTGACTCAGGTACTGGGAGGCCTTTTTCCCACTGTAATCCCTGATTTCCACATCGGCGTCGTAGGCCCCCACCAGCAGCTTCACCACCTCTATGTTCCCGTGCATGGCTGCCAAGTGCAGGGCGGTGTAACCCCCGCTCGTCCTGGCGTTGATGTTCACCGGCAGCTGGTGCTTGTTGGCGAAGTTGACTAGCATAGCTAGAAGCTCCTGCCTTCCGTGCTTGGCCGCCCAATGCAGGCAGGTGAAGCCAGTAATGAAGTCCCGTTTGAACAGCAGGCTGGGATCACAGGTGAGCAAGCCCTCCAAGCTGTCCCACTTGCCATCGGAGGCAGAGAGCATCCAGGCGTGCTCCAGGGGGTCCAGCGTCACGGAGCCCCCGCCGCTGCTCTCCTCCTCCACTGAAGAGGCCACCGATGCGCTGTCTGAGTCGCCCCCGCCTCTGCTGCGTACTCCCCCGGAGAAGTTGCCCGGGCTGCTGCCCCCGGGACCCACGCTCCTCTTAAGCTGCGGGGAGCTGCCCATCATCAGGTCGCGGAAATTCTGGCGGGCCGGCCTCGGCGCGATGGCCCCCGCAAGGGAGCTGCCCCTGTCCGCCTCCTCGCAGCCATGGGGCGGGGACTCCAGGTCCTCGCCGGGCCCCGCGGCCGGCGTCCAGAGTAGGGGCTGCACGTCGCGCCGCGAGTTCTTCCCGGGAGCCCCGGCGCTCAGGGGCGGCCTGTGCGCAGCGGCTGGGGGCTCCCCCTCGCCCGGCTCGAGGCCCCGTCCGGGGTGCGCCTCCGGGACCGCTGTGTCGAGGAGCAGATCGCGCACCTCCGGCCCGGCCGGGCTGTCTGGGGCCTCAGGCTCGGCGGTCACCTGGATTCGTGGTGGGTCCCCGGCTGGCGCGGGCAGCCCCGCACAGAACCTCTTCTTGAGGTGCACGTACTTGGCGCCGTCGGCGGGATCAACGCGCACAGTGGCCACTGCGTTCACTAGCTCCTTGAAGCGCGCGCGGGCGCGGGCACGCTGCTCGGGTTCGCCGCCTAAGGCGTCCTTGAAGTGCTGCACCAGCTCCGCATGCCGGGCCCGGCCCCCGCGCTCCGCCAGGAAGCGCAGCACCGCCTCGGGGCCCAGCGCCGCCTCTGGGCCCGGGTCCGCCTTCGGGCCCCGCTCCGCCGACCCCTCCATCCTGGACCGCGCTGTTGCCCCGCCAGCGGGACGCTCAGCCCGGTCCCATCGCAGCGGGCTCTCAGAGGCTGGCTCCCGACAGCGATGGAGTCTAGCGGGCTTAGCTGGTCACCCGCCTCCGCGTCTGCGGCCAGAGGATTCGGCCACCGCCTCACTGGGCCGCGCCCGAGCGGACACGCCCCCCGCACCCCCACCCCGCGCCCACGCCACCAGGCCACGCCCACATCCGCTCCTCGCGGTCTCGGCCACACCCACCTAGGCGGTCCCGCTCTAGGGTCCGCCCACTTCCGGCCTTTCAGGGCCGCAATCACTGCTCTGCAGTCTCCGCTTTCATTCCTCGTGCCCTCTTTCTGGAGTCGCGGCTCTCCTTCTGCCCGCCCCCATACTGACGCTCAGTCCTCTGAGGCGTCTAGGGCAGTCCCTGCGAGGGGCTTGCTTCGCGCTCGCCAAGCGCTCAGCGTGTTCTATAGGGCCTCCGCCCCGACCCCGCCCCGCGTCCCCTCTTCCCGTCTCCCGCCTCCGGAGGCCGCCTTCTCGGCCCCGCCCTTGTCCCTTCACTGTCTACGAGGCGGTCCCACCCCGTGCCCCGCGCCCCTCCCGTTAGTGCAGCCCTCCCGCTTTCCCGCCGCCGTCGCCAAGACCAGCAGCTCGGGGCCGGGCTGACACCGCCGCTTCGCCTCACCCCCGCCCTCGACCATGGCATCCTCCGAAGTGGCGCGGCACTTGGTGAGTCCCGCTGAAGCCGGGGCCCCTGTCCTGCGCTCCCCGGCCCCCGCGGAACTTCCCCGGCCCGCGGGTCGCTTCGTCCAGTCGAGGATTGGGACCCGCGCCCCCTCGGGCCCCGCCCGCCCGGCTTCCGCGGCGGCTGGGCGCGTTGGGCGGGAGAGGATCCTCTGCGGAGCCTGGGCGCGGTCGGATCCCGACTTGAGGGGCGCGGCGCCAGCGTCGGGATGTTGGGGGACTTCTTGCACTGCTTCCCGGTCTTTGCCAAAAGTTAAATCCGTAACGGTGATTGTGGGTCTCTCAGGGCTATAACGGTATTGAAGGCGCAGTGCGGGCGGATTCAGTAGCGGTCATCTTTCACAGCTGTGAGCATTTCCGCGCCTTCCTGGCCGTAGGAGAAAGCCCGGCTTCCCTGGCTTTTCAGAAGCTCTCCGGTTTTACCAGACGGTGTGATCGTCCAAGTTTTCCTCTATTACGATTTTGAACCTTTTTTTTTTTCCCGCCGTGACACTTTTGTACTCAAACAATGCGTTTGTTCAGTGTTTTGAACCTTACCAGTTACCTTTGTATATTTATCTTGCTTGCTAGTAAGCCAGCGGTTTTCAAAGTTTGTTTACAGCTATTTTCATAATAGTACCAAGGTCGTGTACATTGAGTTTTCCAAAGGCTACGTGATGTGGAATGATCTCACCACCGTTTGGAGGGCCGATGGAGTATGTCTTTGTGTATTCTTAAAAACAAATCCTCCCTTTTAATTTCTGATACTATAAACATCATTGGTTGTAAACTATGTAAACAGAAGCTCTTTGGAGACTGGAGACCAAAAAGTTTGTGAACTACCTCACTAAGCAGCCTCCTACCGGAGAAGTTTAAATTGTAGAAACAGTTCAGACTGTAGGCTGAGAGAGTAGTGGATCTGTCCAAAATGACACCGTTTGTTTGTTTTATAGAGCCTGGACAAGGATTTTTCTCCCTCTCTTTATTCTATCGTGTATTTAAAAAAAAATCTCAGTTTTTCTGTCTGGACCACCTTGTCTCAGTTGCTGTGTTTGTGTGCATGTGAGTGGGGGAAAATTGAGGGGTGTTGGTGAGGAAGATGTGTTTTATAAACTGATTTGTAGAGATTGTATCCAAACACACTTGAACAGAAGAGAGAACTTCTTTTAGGTGATGTTAGATTTCTTTTTAATTGTACTTAATTTGCTTTGAGGCTAACTACTCATTTTCGAATTAAATTTTATTTTTCATTAATTGTATATTCTGTACAGTTGTAAGAAATAATACAGTATAGTGAGAATCCTGTACCCTTTACCCAGCTTTCTTCAATATCTGGCAAACCCATAGTACAATACCACAGCCAGGTATGGTATTGGTATGGCGTCCTCCGAGGTGGCGCGGCACTTGGTGAGTCCCGCGGCACTTGGTGAGTCCCGCGTAATTAACAATACCATTGTCATTGATTGGTACAGTGAAGATAAAGGGTGTTCCCAGAACCAGGAGGATCCCATGTTGCCTTTTTATAACCACACTCACTTCTTTGCTGCCCCACCTCCTCCTTAACCCCAGATAATCAGTAATTCGTTTTTTATTCCTATAATTTTGTCATTCCAAGACTTAATATAACGGAATCACCCAGTTAGTAACCTTTTTAGATTGAATTTTTTTTTACTCCGCAAAGTTCTGGAGATTCATTCAGGTTGTTGCATGTATCTAGTTTGCTGAGGTAGTATTCCATGGTATGATTGTGCCACAGGACATCTAGGTTGTTTTCAGTTTTTGTCTGTTGGGACTAAAGCTGCTATGAACATTCATGTACAGTAACTCATAATGTAAGCATAAGTCTTTAGTTCTCTGAGCTAGATGCCCAAGAATACAATTGTTGGGTCATATGGTAGTTGCATGGTTAGTTTTATAAGAAACTGCCAAACTTTCCCAGAATGGCCGTATTGTTTTCTGTCCCCACTAGAAGAGTATGAGAAATCCAGTTTCTGCACATTCTCACCAGCATTTGGTGTTGTTCCTATTTTTAATGCCATTCTTATAGATGTATAGTGACACATCATGGTAATTTTAACTTGCATTTCTCATGTTGTCACCCACGCTACAGTGCAGTGGTGCCAGCATGGCTCACTGCAGCCTCAGCCTGGACCTCCTGGGCTCAAGAGATCCTCCCATCTCAGCCACCCCAAGTAGCTAGGTCTATAGGTACATACCACCACGCCTGGCTAATTTTGTATTTTTGTAGAGGCAGGGGTGTGACCATGTTGCCCAGGCTGGTCTCAAACTCCTGGGCTCAAGCAATCCTCCCATCTCAGCCTTCCAACGTATTGCCTGTTTTCTAGATTTTTTTTTCTGTTGCTTTTTTAGGTATGCTAGATTCTAGTCCTTTCTCAGGTTTTGTTTTCTCTCAGTCTGTAGTTTATCTTTTCATCTTCTAAGAGGATCTTTTGCAAAGCAAAAGTTTAAATTTTGTTGAAATTGATCATTTTTTCCTCTTATAGATTGTGCTTTTGGTGTCAAGAACTCTGCCTAACTTTGGATCCTGAAGATTTTCTCTTATTTTTTTTCTAAAGTTTTATAGTTTGTTTTACATTTAAGTCATGACCCATTTTGAGTTAATTTTTTTGTTAGGTGTCAGATTTAGATTGAGGGCAACTTTTTGGCCTGTGGATGTCCAGTTGCTCCAGCACCATTTGTTGAATAGGCTGCCCCTCCTTTATTGAATTGTTGATGCACTTTTGTCAAAAGTCAGTTGAGCATATTTGTGTGAGTCTGTTTTAGTCTATTTCTTGGTTCTCTATTAGCACACAGTCTTGATTCCTGTAGCTGTGTAAGTCTGAAGTAAGGTAGATTGATTTCTCTCATTTTATTTCTCCCCCTACAAAGTTTTAGCTATTCTAATTCTGTGAACTTTCTATATGTTTTAGAATCATCTTATCTGGCTGGATGCTGTGGCTCACACCTGTAATCCCAGCACTTTGGGAGGTTGGTGGGCGGATAACCTGAGGTGGGGAGTATGAGACCAGCCTAACCAACATGGAGAAACTCCATCTCTACTAAAAATACAAAACTAGCTGAGCATAACAGCGCATGCCTGTAATCCCAGCTACTTGGGAGGCTGAGGCAGGAGAATCGCTGAACCCTGGAGGCAGAGGTTGCGGTGAGCCAAGATTGTGCCATTGCACTCCAGCCTGGGCAACAAGAGCAAAACTCTGTCTCAAAAAAAAAAAAAAATGAATTTTGCTGGGATTTTGAGAAGAATTACATTAAATCTGTTTATCAATTTAGGGAGAATTGATAGCTTTACTATGTTGAATCTTCCAACTCATCTACATAATATTTCTTTTCATTTTTTAATATATTCTTTGATTTATTTTCATTTTCATTTATTTATTTATTTATTTTTGAGAAAGCCTTACTCTGTCGCCCAGGCTGGAGTACAATGGCACAATCTCAGCTCACTGCAACCTTCACTTCCCCAGGTTCAAGCGATTCTCCTGCCTCAGCCTCACAAGTAGCTGGGATTACAGGTGCCTGCCACTGCACCTGGCTAATTCTTTGATTTCTTTTATTGTCATTAGGCAGTCATCAGCATATAACTCCTGTGTATATTTTGTTAGATTTACACCTAGGTACTTAATTTTTTGAATATTTGTTACAGATACTATTTTTTAATTTCATTATTCACAAAATTCTTTGTTAGTATATAGAAATAGTTGATTTTTCTATTTTATCTTGTATGCTGTGACTTTGCTAAATTCATTTATTTTAGGAGTTGGGATTTCTTTAAATTCCTTGGGATTTTCCCCATGGACAGTCATATTATTCACAAATAAGAACAATTTTATTTCTTCCTTTATCTGTCTGCCTTTTATTTTCAGCCTTCTTGTGTTGTGTGTTGTATTGTCTAGATTCTAGTACTATGTTCAATAATGGTGGTAAGAGCAGACCTCTTTGCTTTATTTCTGATGTTGGGGAACTGCATTCTGTCTTTCATCATAGCAGTAGTTTTTTTATAGATGCTTTTTATCAAGTTCACGGGACTTGTGTTCTGTAGGTTTTATGTACTATCTTTGTCTTGGTATCAGAGTAATGCTAGCTTCATAAAATGTATTGGGAATAAGTGTTCCCTTTTCCATTTTCTTTTCTTTTCTTTTATTTTTGGATAGAGTTTCACTCTTGTTGCCCAGGCTGGAGTACAGTGGTGCAATCTCGGCTCACTGCATCCTCTGCCTCCTGGGTTCAAGTGATTCTCCTGCCTCAGCCTCCCGAGTAGCTGGGATTACAGGCATGTGCCACCACTCCTGGCTAATTTTGTATTGTTTATAGGGATGGGGTTTCTCCATGTTGGTCAGGCTGATCTCGAACTGGAGACCTCAGGTGATCCTCCCACCTCGGCCTCACAAATTTTTGGGATTACAAGTGTGAGCTTCCACGCCCAGCCTCCTTTTACATTTCCTGAAAGAGATTGTGTAGAATTGGTGTTAATTCTTTAAATACTTGTCAGGATTCTTGAATGAAATTATCTGGGCTTGAAAATTTATGTTTTGGGAGTTTTAAAGTTGCAAATTCAAATTTCCTCAGTAGTTACCAGGCTGTTTATATTATTTCTTGCTGGGTGAGTTGTGGTAATTTGTGGTTTTTGAGGAATTGATTCATTCCTTCCAGGTTGTCAAATTGATGTGAATAGGGTTGACTATAGTATTCCCTTATTATCCTTTCGAAGTCTTCAGGATCTGTAGTGATATCTCTGTTTCATTCATGATACTAGTAATTTGTGTGTCTGCTTTTGTCAATCTTGCTAGTAGTTTGTCAATTTAATCCATCTTTTTAAAGAACCAGCTTTTCATTTCATTGACTTCTATTGTTTTTGTTTTCAATATCATTGACTTCTGATCTTTGTGCTTAAGAATTATTTCCTTCTCTATTTCCTCTTCTACTTTGCTTGCTTTGGGTTTATTTTGCCTTTTTTCTGTTCTACATTCTCGAAGGAGGAGCTTGGA